TTCTCTCTCTCTTTCCCTCCTTTACTTCCTTCCACTCTACCTGAAAAGGAATGGAAAAAAATATATCCTCAGGTGAGGATTAAAAATTTAAAAAAAAATAATGGGATGGTCATATTATAAGGTAAAAAGGGTCGAATAACTGTTGTACATCTGAAACTAATATAATCAATATAAAATTGTATACCAACTATACTTTAATAAAAATAAATTAAAAACAAATCAACTACCCAGCCAGCGTAGCTCAGTGGTTGAGCATCAACCTATGAACCAGGAGGTCACAGTTAGATTTCGGGTCAGGGCACAGGCCCGGGTTGCAGGCTCAATCCCGGGGTGGGCGGAGGGTGGTTGCAGGAGGTAGCCTATTAATAATTCTCTTTCATCATTGATGTTTCTATTTCTCTATCCCTCTCCTTTCTTCTCTGAAATAAATAAAAATGTATTTAAAAAATAAAAACAAATCAACAACAAAACAGGAAGGACCTGACAGAACCATGCAATCTTGCTGACTAATCCATGGGTTCCCTGACAACTGCTTCACTTTTGGAACAAAGAATAATCAAGGCAGAAACATGAAAATCTAATAGAAACAGGTAGCACTTTTAAAAGGCCCTAAATTTGACATAAAGCTAGGAACAGATAACCTTATAGTCTTCTGTGAGACTGGTCCTTTATACATCAGTGGAACAGCATAGATGGATGGATTAAGGGGGCACCAAACCCCACCACCACAACCTTGCTCATCTGGGCTATATATGTAAGGCCCATCTATCTGTGTGAGGATGGGCTAGAAAATCTCACCACTGGAGACTATAATTAATCATCAACCTTAGTATGAACGTGTTTTATGTTATTCACTGCCAGTCAATTGCAAAACAGGAATCCTATATAATAAAAGGGTAATATGCAAATTGACTCTATCAGCAGAATGACTGGGAATGACTGGACACTATGACACACACTGACCACCAGGGGGCAGATGCTCAATGCAGGAGCTGCCCCCTGGTGGTCAGTGTGTTCCCACAGGGGGAGCTCTGCTCAGCCACAAGCCAGGCTGCCAGCTGCCAGCACAGCGGTGG